CTTCTCACATCATTATATTCGAAGCCAAGAAAGAAGGAACGTATACAAATCCTCAAAGAAGAACTGACAGACTTATCAGCTGAAAAACCATTGACCAATCCTTTGGGCCGGCACCCAAATCGCCGTACATCGAATCAACAGCCTATTCCGTGGGTCGATCCTTTTGTCCCTCTGTCTCTCTCTCTCTCTCTCTCTCACTCACTTTCTCTTGATGTACACGATTCGGCACGGAGGCACAATGATCGCTGGACAAGCCGTGGGTCCGCGGCAACGATTAACAATTTGAACAAAAAATATTTCCAAGCTTAATGAAGCATATGGAACTTTTTTTCCAATTGTAAAAATATTATTTACACAGAAAAATGATGAATTTTAAAGCTTCTAAAAAAAGTTGTTCTGAAAAGAAAGATCTCAAACGTTAAAAAATTCGTATATAGCTAACAATTACGATTGTTTGAGCTAAAGCGTACGAAACTAGGAATATCTTCCTCAATATAAAGCTTAAAAAAGTCTGAAAAACAACTATATGATCTGCAAACATTGACGATTATCCACTTAGCAAATACCATTTTCAATGAATACGAATGCCCTTATTTTGTAAATATGAGCGATCACATATAACATGTATCAAACATATTTAACTGTTTAAAATGTATCAAAAAGCGTAAGAAATTGAAAAAACAAATTTTCTTGATAAAAAATAAAAACTCACGGTACACTGGTTTCCCAGCGCAAATAACTTTAATCAATTAACGCCTGTTAAAAATTGAGCTGCCAACGTGCATTACCCGTACGTCATGAAACATGCAACAATCTAATTTATTTAAGATAATGAAGTGTCGGCCATATGTCCAAAACTTTTCGGAACAAAACTCCTTTCTTTTATTTAAAGTACGATATAAATATTAATTTCCATTACAACGCTTTGTTGGTTTTCTTTCACGTGTAGACTTACATCATATGAATGGTAAATTTTTATTGAAATTCTCATTCTCGAAAATTTGGGTTATCATTACTATGCGCATCATTATCACTACCATTTTTCTGCTGCCCATGTGTGTGCGAGTGCTTTGTCAACTCGCAGAAAGCCAGCATTATACTAAATTACGCGCATCTTGCCAATAGGTCCCTTAACTTGCAAGGCTCGATTAAGCGCTTTGTTTCGTCCAAATGATTGACTGCGTTAAGTTTTCAACGAACCCTAAATCATCCGATTATTTAAGCTGATAGATATAATCCAAGCTAAATGGATACTAAATCCTTTTATTGATTGAGTGCTGATAACGCAGATATGCCTTTAAATATCCGTTACGCCGCGTACTCTACTGCTGCTTGCTTGACCGTTGATTGAACTGAAACCAATTATCCGTAAAATAATTGATCTTCAATGGGAATAAAGTATCAAAGCGAAATCGAATGGAAATTCATGCGTTGATATAAAATCGATTGATTTAGTTTATACAAATGCAGAAAGATGAAATGACGTGGAACGTTATATTTTGTTTGATTGTGCACTTTTATTTCAAGCTTTTTTTATTAGACCGTGTATGCGAGAATTACGCAAAATTTAATATCCGCGATGATTTACGAATGAAAATATAGGCACTTTTTTTATAAAGTAACCAGCAGCTACGCAAATCGACTGGAATAAAACGCGATCGAAAACTACGCGAGGATATTGGACTCGAACTATCATCGCATTTAGGACATGCTTCGCTTGCAGGATAACAATAATGAGATACAAAATTGAATAGCAGCTATATAATTTAGATTTATTCAATTCATCATAATATTTATTTATTCATGCTTTAACGGTATAGAACATTTCATTTACTTTTAGCATTTGACTATGAGAACGTCCATATTCCGAGATCACGTATGACTATTTTATCGGCGTCATTTTAATAGATATGCGTTCTAGAGGCGCGAAGGGAATTATAAACTTTGTTTTAATTCTAATTAAATTCAAATGCTCTTTCGATTTGACGTAGTAGCCGTGAAATATTTAAAAGCAGAAACGAGGCCTGGACGTCATCAATTTATGTTCCGTGCTCCTGAAATTTATTCGCTCAGATTGAAAAATCGTTGAAAAATCTTAAGCTTGCTGGGCAACTTATCTGATAGCTAACCGAATGGACGGAAAGTGACAGAGAAAACAACAAGTTTGAAAGAGTATATAATCACAGCTCGGAGAGGTGAAATGAAAGCAATATGCGGCTCCTTTGGATTTCTTAGTCGACTTCTAGCTCTCGAGTCATTTCTACAACGCGATTGAAAATAAATCTCAGTCTCATCCCTTCACTGTACATCCGTTGTCATGTCATGGCTTACACATAAGTATGATTTTTTTTCTCCATATTTCCACATACTTCCATACGACATATTTCCAGCTTAAAAATTTACGAACATTGCCAGAACATTTTTCAAGTCCTCTCTCGCACGATATTCCGCGTTTCCGCGAACAGTTCACCGACCGTGGCTACAAGATATATAAGAACACATTGAAATATATTTCGTAAAGTCTTATTTTTTCGAATTCTTTATACCAGAGTTTCCAGTTGGACTTTTTCAAATCGAGGAGAAATTTTGTTGCGACTCACTCGCTCGAGCAAATCGACTTCGTCAAGCAGTCGCATGTCAAAACGCCATTGCACGCAGAAACTGCAGGACTGTTGAGGAAAAAAGATTAATAAAGCTCGATCAAGCTCCGTCTTAGCACGCGCGAGTTTCATTGCGCTTGCGAGAGTGATCAATCGCCTGCCACTTGACGTAGAGGCAAAGCGTGCCGTTATTAAAATATCAGTGTTCATTTTTCGTTGGAGAGCTAAGCATAATTATATCAATATCAAACTTCGATAATAAGATAAAGTCATTGTCTCTCATGTTTTTGAAACTGCTACCGTGTGCAAAACCCTACTGTAATAAGCATTGTGTTTCAAGTTACAAGATAGCTAAATGACAATCGATCTGCCGTATATTTTAGTTTGGTGGATGACGTTGTTTTTTCTTTTAATTTCTCTTTTGTTGAACGAAAATCCGCGTGATTGTGCCCTACTCACATGATAAAGAAAGTCGCACGATATCAATTTCATGTTTCTTACATTTTTTGCAAGCAACCGCTTTTTTAGAAAGCTACACATTATCTAAAGAATCTCCATAGCTGTAATATCTTATTAGAAGTTGGTTATCACATGAAACTTTGCGTTAAGTTTAGTTTTGAAAATTTCTGACTCGAAATTGATTTGGGCATATTTGAGTAAAGGGTTTTAATATGTTGTCGGCATGCTTTTTACAGGAAGTTAAACGTCCAAAAGTCTCGAGTGAACTTTTTTGCGTAATATTCGTGTTTTGGGGGATAAAAGAGAAAAGTTTGGATTTCAAGAAAAACTTTTAATTTTACTTAGGGATTCTAGTTATTTAAAAAATTAATTTATGCAGTCAGACAATTTATCCTTTTAAGACTGATATAAAATAATTATATTCAAATTCTTAACAATGTACGAAAAAAACCCAAGTTAATGCATTGAATAGTATCCAAAATAGTATTGGAATAACTCGATTTCTAGGGATATGACAAAGCTAGGAAAAAGAATGCAGAAAACTTTTAGATTCCAGTCTCGTGGCACAAACATTGTCGCGTCTTAGAACTTGGTGGTCCTAATTGGTCGACTAGAGCTAAATGAAGAGACCCTGTCAACGACAGTTTTACGTATAGATAAATTGTACTCTAACTTGTAAGTCTTTCTTTTTTCGTTACCACAAATTGTTGGCTAACTTTGGAGATCTCAATCTCGCTTCACGTCCGATGATGATAGCACGGCAACTTCATCTTACAATAGTAAAGTTTGCACTGTATTAAAGGCTCGTAGCAGTATACTCAAACTTCCACTACAACTTTTTTAATCAATCTTTTCGTGCAGCAACGAGGCATAACGTAAGCGATCCGTTGGGACTTTAGTTTTCTTTCGCGCGAAGATGTTTTCACTCGTTGCCAGGTGCCGATTTACCAATCTGGCGGAAAATCATTTGAAAATTGAGCGAAATAACTTTGTTTGAATAGGAGAAGACTTTGGATTTTTGTTATCAGTTCATTATGACATTACAACTCAGTGGCGTTTTAACTACTAATTAAGAAAAATCAAAATACTTTTCAATAAGAATAAAGAAAAAAATATAGATCCTTGCTTCTTCCAATCAATAAGTGAGAAATTTTAGGAAACATTGGTGTGTTTGCAACCAGAAAAACCGTTAACTATACAGGTAGTATAGTGAAGTAGAGTAAACTTCGTCGTAGAGTAAACTTTTCTCTAGCTTGGCCGATTAATGACGCTACTCTTATTTCAGCAAGTGCTTAGAAGCCGGATCATTGTTTCGAGTGTGCAATTTCGCCAACTTTTGAATTACAAGCCCTTCACAAGTTTTCCTTCCCTCATTTTTGCAGGGAGAATAATGCACGAAAGTTTCGCTCGCGGAAAATTGAACGAGTTTTCACGCTGCGACAGAGAACAGACTGTCCCTCGGAAAATAAGCGCAAACGCAGCACTGAGTTTCTTCTCGTTTAGGCGGGATTTGAGCGCGCTCCCCTGCACATATGTTTACTGCGAGCAAAGTTGGACGCGCGCGCGCGCATCGCAGCAGCTTCAAATGAAAACTCGTATATAAAAAGATACGCTTCGTTCCTAGTGCGTCTCTTTGCGATATGTGTCGAGACTCCGGCTGCGTCAGGACAGGTGTTATTCGATAATCTAGTTGTTTTTCTGCGCGATCGTTTTCTGATTTAATATATTAATGGCAGAAATTTTATCGATAAAAAAGTTTTTTAGGGCTGTAAAAAATTATTTTTAAATTAGAAATTAATTATAAATAAAAAGCCACCCATGATATTCACATATTCTTCTAGATGATTAATTTTTTTAACTTCATTCCAAAATTCTAATTCAAAATATAATAAACGATACTCATATACGAGATAGAGATAATTTAATGAAATTCATATTTACAAAATATCGCGTTTATTAGGAGCATCCCGGTGACCGCTGTGATTTGTATCAATATTATTTCAATACAGCACAATAATACAGAAAATCAATGAAGCGGCATCCAAGATATTTTCTTTTTGTGAACACACTATCGGTAATGTCATGCAGGCTGACGTACTAGCAAAGAAATGCCTGCAATAAGACTTGTTGCCGCACCGTCGAGCATTTTAATGAGGCTCTCTTTGAAATTCGGCAGTTATCTAGAAATAAATATGAACTTTTGAATCTCGAAAATGTTTTCGTGAGACATGTTTCGTCGAGTCTCAGCATCTTTTCGAGTTGACACCAACCTCCAAGTAAAAGCAACGAGACGATGAATTTTCTTGTCGCATACGCGTGCTTTTCAATTCTCGACTTCACCTTCAAAATCTAAGAAAGTTTCTATAACGAAGGATAGTTTCTGGAATATAAAATTTTAAGTCTATCGAAATTCTGTGAATACTCAAAGGCCCTTGATCATTCCTTCTCTGATTGTTGTTGAAAATTTTAGATACAAGTCAAGTACAGTGACCTTCGCATCCAATGCAAAACATTTACTATGTATTTAGTGTACATGTAAATGAGAAAGGGCTGCAAGCAAGGCATTCATTTTGGTGAAGACACTTGATTAAAATTTCTCGATGATATTGCTTGAGAGAAGTTTTCCAATTACGTTTACAGTCATCGGCAGATGGCTTCCCAAAACCCTGCAAATAAGAAAAGAATAAAAAATCAAACTTATATTGTCGACAAGACTCCACTTACTTTTACAAGGCGTGTAATGACTGTACTCTTGCCAAAGAGAGAAGCTTTCAAGAGAAGTTCGAAATCCCGCAAAGTTAAATCGGTGCATCACAAAGGAAAATAAGTTTAGTGTTTAAAGTAAGTGAATTTTGAACTTAACGTTTAGCTAATGTATAAAAAAACAACGAAGGTTTATTATTAATTTTCCAAGTTTTTAGATATTTCAATCTTACTTTGTTACAACTAATCATGCCAAAGAACGAAAATTAATAATTCAACCGTCGCAACCGACTTTATGATTTTATTGTCTAAAGTAATCTTAACAGCTATTCGTGCGCATTTAATGGAATAAAGTTTTCTCACCAACTTCTGAAGACGCGAAATTGGAGCAGCGGCATGCCAAGAGCCAATTATCATCCATTCGTGCAATAAAAGGCGTTCAAGCAGTCGTCAACTTTATTTAAGCATTTATTCTGTTATTAGCATCGAATTAACAATAACTATCAGCCTTCATCTTGAACTATACGTGATCGTATAAAGAGATGAATAGAATCTTCGTATTATGTGCTGAATATCAATCTCATTCAGTCAAAACTTGAAATTAGTACCCTATACGCAAACAAAGATTTTAGTCCCAATATGCTTCCAATTTAGATTTACAAACTACCTGATAAAGTTCCACAAGTGCCACTACTCATCTTGAACACCGGTCTCCAAAATATCCTCTCATTTAATGTAATAAACATCTCTATAAAATCCTTGGGGAAAGTTCTGACGCATTCAGCCAAATAGAATCTAGTACAAGGAGTATCGTCGGGTGGGTCGGACAGTGAAGAAGTTATATTCAACAACATCGCTGGGATAACTTCCTCATCTGAATACAAAACTATACATCGGCAATTATGCATTAATGCGAATCTGCAATAGCCAACTCAAATTCGCAATACAATGATACGAACCTCATTATCTCGACGTTTGCCGTCTCCAAATGACGGCCGTACGGCTTTGCATTTCCGGCTGATTCGAGTCATACCTGCCACGTGAGCATTTGCGGCAGGTAAGTCGCCAGAAAGCCATGCGAAAATCCGCCGAGTAGAACGCATAGATAAACGGATTGATCGCCGAGTTGAACCAGCCTGCAATGTAACAACACCGATATTTTCGTTATGCTGGTTTAACTCACCGCCTGTAGTAACTCCAACTTCTTTTCGAATTTTTCCATTGCCAGATAAAAATTGTTAAGAAAGTCTGGCTTTCGTCCGCACACTTGATGGCGCCGCGTAAATAAGCATTTAGAGCAAAAGAGAGTTCGGAAGCAATAACAAAAAGTTAACTCAAAAGTAAGAGCAATAGCAAAAATCACGAGAGAAAGTCTATCCCGTACGTGATAGATCATTGTTTTCAATGTACGCGATCTCTCGGCTGCAAATCAAAGGCATACAAATTCGAATATACGACGAGTCGCAAAACTGAGATTCGCAAGGAATCACGAAAGTTTCGCGTCGTCGACGACGACTTTCCTTGTAATTAAATTTTTGTAATTTTTCTCATCAAGGAGAGTAGCAGAACTTTTCCGTCGGTCGCCAATGCAATTTGTCGGATCGCCTGATCGCACATTGACCTCGGCTACTTCGAAACTCACCAAGCCAAGTGAGGGCAGGCATCAGCGGCTGAGGTGGCTCAACAGGTATGAACGGTGTGGCCAGGTAGAGAATGAAGAAAGGCAGCCAGCAGGCGATGAAACCACCGACGACTACCGCCAGAGTACCGGCAGTTTTAGTTTCTCTCGTTACCCGATTGATGCAGCTATGCTGATGTGTGCGTAAAGTGCCAACCCGACTGATTGGTCGTTTACATGGGCTACTCGTTGACGTTGATTGGTCGTGTTGCTGATTACACGGTACACTCAGTGTCGATGGTTTTTTTGTTATCGTATCAGCTGGTATCACTTCACTGACCCCGCCTTCGGATACCGAGGCTGCTGATAGTCGAGAACTTAAGACTAGGTGAGCTGATGTTTTGGTAACGATCTTTTTATTGCATTCGGTACTCTGGAATGTTGAGATGATTGATGTTGTAGAAAGTAAAATGGAAAGTTTAAGTACAAATGAATGCGTTTGTTATGAAGTGGCATTTACTTCCAGCATGTGATCACTGCATGCAACTAAATACATAGTATGTATAAACTTCCGGAATATGATTAAAAGGTACTTTGGAATTTTAACTTCTCTGACTGACATTTGGTATGCTAAAAGTTTCAATTAGCAAAACATCATTTTACTCCTCAGTAAGCAACAGTCATTTGTCTTGTACAATTGGATATACATACTTAAAAAACTTTTTTATTATCAAACAATAAGTCTTCAGTGTAATTAATATTAGTACATATCGTTAGATTGCACTTAAACCCTCAAAATAAAAACTCCTCCAATCAATTAGTAATTGCAATTGAAAGTGATCTCCAGTAAACAGGAATCCAACGAATATTTCGGATACTGTTATTTAAACGTATTTACAACGAAATACTAATGACGAAAATTGATGATATCCGGGCAACCACATTGTATAAACAGTTCGACAATTAAACTTTCGTAGAGATTTTGGTGCAGCAGACGAATGTATCATTTTGACTCGCGATAACGAACACATGGAAAAAGGGACAAACGAGAGTCCAGATACACAGCAATTTTTGAGAACAGACTCGAGTCACGCAAGGGCTATTTTTTGTTGTACAGCGTTGTACAGAGAAGGAAGCTTTTTCGAAGTGGGATGTCGATTGCTTTGAAAAACTATTCCGGGGTCCGTTCTTTTTTAAAAAATGACAGCTGGTGCAGACACGTCGTTTTTTTCGGAGAGATAATTGAAAAACTTTATTGGATCGTATGAAAAAGAAACGTGCTAGTGTCGCCATTCCCTCGAAAGAAAAGAAGATTTCGGGAGTTTGGGATAGCTATTTTCTTGTATACGGTCTTATATACAGAGAAAACATAAATTGCAACCTATAACCAAGAGCTGTATCGATTGATTTACGAAAGAGACGCTCGCGCGCGAACGGTTCCTTGAGTTTATTACAAGCTCGCCAGAATCCTTGAAAAGCAGTTTCAAGAGTCTGAATTGCATCGCTTCATCTTCATTCGCCATGAAAAGAAAATACGCTCGCGCAACAGACTTTTAACAATTCCGTTCCGCAATGACTAATAAAAAAACACGACATAGCTTTCTTTTCATGAATAGAAGGAGAATTTTACGTCTGGAAAACTTGTGGTGCATACTAGAGAGATGGACAAGAAAATAACTTTTGTTTCCTGATTACCGGTTAAATTCTAGTCGAGTTCGAGCGAATAATACCAGCTAGATTAAAGCAATGAGGTAATTGTCGGAATGAAAGGGAGAGAAAAAGACAACAACGATCTTCTCATGAGGTTAGAGCTAATGACCTGACCACCAGAGAAAATCAGGCTTGATCGTAGCTAGCGATTATGTGCTAGTCGTAGAATCATAATTTTTTTCGATTATCTTTCCAGAACAAACATCCATTTTAAATCTAATTTACAATTGAAATAATATATCTCTATTAGCGGAATGATCCAAATGTTTTGATTTGCTCTCCTATGTGGTAGATATCTCTAATTGTAGGTCATAACGAAACTCCAGATTAGTAATCTATTGATGTTTGCGCGTCTCTCTCCCTAAAATGTGAACGTCGGTGATTGCGTAATCAAGTCCCTCAAAGAGATACACGATGTCATCATTATGCAACCAACATATTTTGGATAAAAGCCTGCGCACGTAAATCGTTGAAATAACACATTACGTTTGACTAGATTTGCATTTGGAATTAATCGACCATTAATTGATTAAAAGCGCAGTAGAGGCCGAAGAACAATGCGAATGATTGAAGGACGCATTACGACCATACTAGTGCAATTCTCTGTAAATGGAACTTTATTATAATTATTTGATCCTCGAGATTTATTTTGAAATTCACTTGCAATCAACTTATGCGAAGAATTTTACCGAGTAAGCGCAGTAATATGTGTCACGCGATATGGCTCTAATGAATTTATGTTACTCTAAAACTTCCGACTCTGTCTCGAACTAAATTCTCCGTCACACATCAACCTGAAATTCCCTCTGTGAGACAGTTAATTGTAGAAAAATAAATTAATCGACTCACCAAAGGTAAATTCCTACGGAAGGTACGTCGATGCATTCTCGGACCATTTGTCAAAAGTTCGTTGGCCGTCGGGCTACGTCCTTTAGCATCGGCAACTTCACTCGCTTCGAGACTTCGATTGCGTTTGACAATCACCCAAGATATTCGCCCGTAAACGTAAAGCATCACGAGCATCGGTAGAAAGAAGCTGCCCATCGCTGAGAATATTACGTACGACGAGTCCATGTTGTATGAACATTTTTTTTCAATCTCGATCGAGTTTCGCGCTCGTGGAAAGCAACCGAGAAGTGGTGGAGATGTTATTGCTCCTGCGCTAATCCACACTGCTATGATCATCAGACCTGCTAGTCGTTTGCTACGACGACGTCGAGTGTAGACTAGTGGTTGTGTTACCGCGAGATATCTGCAAAAATAAACATTTACATTTTTTTTATAGAAAAGTATCTTTACTATTAATATATTTTTTCGAGTCAATGCATTGAAGTGATTATATCAGATAATCAATGTTTTTATATCAATTACTTATTCGAGTGAGAGATTAAATTTCTATTACGAGAATTTTCACTGGCGTTAATTAATTATTAAAACTCGCAAAAAATATTACATAGAAATAGTATTATATGTTCAAAGTTTGTCATGAAAAATGTATTAATTTTAATTTTTAACTAATTTCGTAAATAAAATAGACTTCAAATTTTAAGAAGTTTCATGATAATTTTTGCGATTTCTGGCAAATTTCCGAATATCTTTAGAATTTTTTTGCAATTTATAAAAATAATTTCCTACTAATAAATCCTACTTTCTTCTGTCACGATTTGATTTTCTTCTCAAAAAGCAGCAGTTAAGATGACTTGAATATTTATTGTGTGTGAATCGTAAATAATTAGGAAACGCGATTTAGGTCCATATATATGGACGTGCTTGCGATCACGTTTTACCGCGGCGGGAGTACGTTCGCCGCAAATTCGCGCGCAACCCAATTCGCAAGTAAATCTATCGGCAAATGATTCATGCCATAAATATTGAATAGTACCGAGAGAATTGTGTATGTAGTTCTCTCTCTCTCTCTCTCTCTCTCACGGTATTTGCCTTCCTAAATAATCATAATGCAACGTAATTTATAGATCTGAATTATCGTCAAAGATTTATCTAATGCGCGAATATTCTTCCTAAAATTAAATATACTCTCGATTAGATAGAATGAAATATACGATATTAACCGTTTGTTGAAATTTTATGCGAGATAAAAAAAGCACAAAGTGTAATTTGCTACCTCACATGTTTTCTAAAAATTCATTTTGAAGCTCACGGTAATAAAGGTTTCGGAAAGAATATCTCTACCCGTCACGCAACTCAATCTCATTGACCAAGCGCCCATCTTTCGGCTTAAGCGATGATACAATCTCGTTGTTATGATAGCGCGCATGCGTGAAAATGATCAGTTCGTACTACGTGCGCGTAACTATCCTGTTTATACTTTACCTGTCGATGGATATTGCGCAGAGAGAGAGGATGCTCGCCGTACAGAGCAACACGTCCAGCGAGACCCAGGAGTCGCAGAGAATTTGGCCGAGCTCCCATGTGCCGCCGTTCAGCTGCTCAACATTTTTGTTTTCTTTGATTTTCAAGAAAAACTTGCTTCTACTATTCAATTGTTAGTGTTCTTTGTTTCTCATTTGATCGATCAAGGATAAATCCTTAAGGGAAAATTATAGCGGATAAGACGACGTTTATGAGCGGATAATTTCTTCTTTTTGTAGTGAAATCCTTATCTCAGCTTAATCGGCAAGGTTTTCCTCTCGTGCGACATCGATTTCTCATTTCTCCGTTGATTAATATATGACTCGCGATATTTTTAACAAAGACTCAAGCGAACGTCCGCGAAGCATTATTAAAATCTCAAGGGTCACACACAAAACCAATTTCATTATCTCAATTATTAAGTAAATCCGCGCTGAGTCAATAATAAAGAGGGTTACGGAAATGAAAAGAGAAAAGAACAAGACAAATCTTATGCCGTTTGGATAGCTGATTTAATGCGCACCAGCTCTTGGCCGAACGAATGAGAAGAAGTGGTCCACCAGCCAGTGGGCGGTTCAATTGAATTTACTTCCAAACTTTTTTTTTCTTCTTCGACCTCTCATCTGGAGAATTAAAACGTCGTCGCTTTCGCTGTATATATGCGTTAAGAGGGAAACGATGTTTCTTGCATATGCTCGTATCGATTGCTTCCACGGCTGATCGTTATCGACTTGCACTACTTACTCCCGATAAAGGCGATTTATAATAGCTATTTTGTTAATTGCAATCGGCACCAGTATTATGCTTTATAAAAATTAAATCAGATGACCTTTCGAATTGAGAAAATATCGCAATAATGAAAAGGTCTTTTGTAAGACACTGTGTCGCAATAATTAAGCGCACTCGACTCAGTTAATTAAAACACGTACGGGAGAAAAATGCAAAAGAAATGCTTGTAGATCGGGGTTTGTCACTTTTACTCATTAATAACCGCCATGTCAAAACAACACGTCATTACTAGCCACTCGATCCCTTTTTAAAAATCAACTCGTTCCACCGAGGAAACGAGGATCTTACGAGAAAAACCAAACAATAGAAAGCAATAGCAAATGACGTGTCAACTCATCCTCGAAAAGTCCTTCGCTTGAACTAGCTTGAAAGAACTACGCGACAGTTCTATTAGGCAGTGTGATGATGTTGCGAGAATCGTCGATCTTCGTCATCTACTGTGCGAGCTCGATTTTCAAGCTTAGCTTTCCTTTCATCGCGGTCTAGAAGTTATCGAGCTTGAAAGTGAGCTGCAACGAGCGTGGCTACTTTTACAACAGCTTGAACGGAAGGACCGCTTCTGCCATTAAACTTTTGGATTTCTTTGTCGTGGGCGATCGGTCGGGGAGAATCGAGTTGGAAGAACCGAGATAAGCGCGAATCAATTGAATCGTTGATAATCGGCGTTTACACGCGCGCACGTGCCAAGCGTGCACTCATCAATCAAAATCGGAGGTACCACAGGCATTCGCGATAATTAGCATTGGCAATAGCAATACGTACCTGCAGAAGGACCGCTGGCGGCATGACCGCCAGACCGACCAACAGATCGGCCGCCGCTAGGCTCGACACGAAACAATTAGTGACAGACCGCAGTCGCCTCGTCGTTATTACCGCGGCTATTACCAGTGTGTTGCCCACCTGTAAATCGAGAAAAAAAAGCGCTCGTGTAGTTCGTAATTTAAAGCTGTCGACCCTTAATGGGAATAGAACGGAAAACGAGTGGAAACTGAACTTTTGTCGTTATTGCTTTGCGGAAGGCAATAAGGAAAGCCAAGCTCTCTCGACCAGTAAATCTAAAATACTGCATACGATGGTAGGATAGAAAGTAAAGCCGCAGTGTCCATACGCATTACTATGGGAGTCATTGCATACTTACGATTGTAATGATGATGAGAATGACGAAAGAAGCAGCGAGAACTAAATCTATCCAGTCGAGCACGTATTCCTCATCGACTTGCGTTTGATTGACGTACGGCTGCGAGGTGTTCGACTCGGCGAACTGTACTGTCGCGTTCTCCATCACAATCTCGACCCCCATCTACTTACCCCAAGGCCAGCCATCGAGCCTTCCTTTTTAAACCCGTCGTTTAGAGATATGGCGTGCGTCATTGATCTTTGACATACATATTGATTGACTGGTGATGAGATTGCATACTTCAGTGGGAGCTGACGAGGCGTCGTAACTTTTGAGAACGCCAATGATACGCATTTTGCACCCTAATAAAACTTTAATCCAATTGGTTCACACCTGCAAACAAACAGATATTCATTACTTCTCTGTATTATTTTCGTTAAATATTTATACGAAATATTTCTTCCAATGAAATTTACATTATATCTCGTTGAATAAATCACGCAACGTATGGAAGGAAGTGTATCAGACTTTTGATACAGAGCAATGAAAACGCTTATCAGGTAAAAATGTAAATCTCGGACAATGCGTATAGATAAAATAAAAAAATGCCAGGTAGTTGAAAAACTTTCGCGACGAGTTATCCGTTATAAGCACGAGAGTCGCCCGCATAAATCTCGCCACCATTAAATTTTTCCCTCTCTCCCCAACATTTCCATATTTTTCAGAAAGGGCAATTCTCAGCTATATACAACGTGTTTTACATAAAATCAAGTTCGAATCGATATTGCAGTCGGAACTACCAGGTCCAAGAGATGAATAATCTGCATAAATTATAATTTTCACGTGCGCAGCCTTCGAAGTGCAAAATCATCTCTGGATGTTCGATGGGCAAGAGTGCAAAATGCGAAATACGAGTCAATTGGCTATTTAGAACATGTAAATGGGTATTCGGAAGTTTGGACGTCCAATTTGACGATGGATGTGCTTGAAGCCGTATCGACCGACTGAATAAATGCATTCGTCGGCGAATATCGTATGCATCAAGTGTGACCGTACTTTGTCTTCAAAGAGGCTTGCTTATTAGCAGTATCGATCTTCATTAGCTTATCGACGGTATCAAACATTTTACGAAAACCAGTGAAAAGGGTGGAGGAATAACACATTTATGTAACAAATGTACAACATTTAATTAACCGACAGAAAAAGAAAACAAAGAAACAAGAAAGCAAAGATACGATGACAGCAGCCATTAAGTGAATATCTTGTATGTGTATACGTTCATGTGCATGTGCGTATGCGAGTGGTAGAGGTGCACTCTTATCTATCGTGAAATAGCGCGTCGTTCGATTTTATACCGAAAAAGTATTAAGCGCACTAAATGCGATTGGCACCCCTCGATAGTTTTTCTTCTTCTTCTTCTTCTTCTTTTTTGTTTTTCTTTTGTCCCTGCCACCACCAAGGAATTGGATATTCGCGCGCCATAGTAACTTTTTACACGTGTCGTTGCACTCACGCGAAGGGTTACCAGTGCATTCGATTACCCTTGGGAATTGCCGCTGCTGCTGCTTTGCCTTGTCGCTGTTTTTTTCTCTCTTAACGCGGTCTTCGATCTTTGTTTACTCCTCTTGAAAGCTACATTGGAAATTCCAGCTAATTTAAAAATGGCGGTGTCACCTTTTCCTGCTTTTAGAATTTTCACCATTTAATTTTTAATAATAATAATAATTGACGACTACAAATGTTTTTCTCGATAGCGGAGAAAAAGAATTGCTCGGTTTACATATACGACAGTGGATTAGTATAACGAATTGGACAACCAAACGCATCACTCTCTTCACGGAAATGTAATGTACTAGCAGCTGAGTTATAATTTCTACGCATAATAAATCGGTTAACTAAGTGAATTTAATCAAGGCTAATTGGATCAAATTTCTTTTCTATTGCATACACTTTAATTACTCATGCGTTTTATGATTATTCAATTAATGAAATTACATACATTTGTAGCGTCAAGCTATAAATGCCCATATTTTACTAATTCTTGGTGTAGACACAAACCAATAATGAGAAATTTCGTCGCGTGATTTATGTACTTTCTATATTCGCATGTAGATTTATACTTTGCCCGTCTCTCTCATTGTGCGCGTATGCCCTGTGTATTATTGGACGAAGATACTTTTTTTAGACTGCTGGAAGAGATTTATGTGCCACCCAAGCCAGCGACGTTTTTGACAGACGCCACGCAGTTATGATTAACGGTTGGCTGCAGCAGTGCCTCTGTTATCAAATTATGAAGTTTATCAAAAATTCTGTCGCGCTGAACGCCGTTTACCAATGCAAATTTTCCCATCGAATTACCATTACCACGACGCACTAAGTGTGAGCATGTCGTTTGCGTCAAAGAGATGTATTCTGTTAAGCTCCCTAGCTTGAATTAAATTCATTAAGATTAGGCGGCTTTCGGCTATAGGTACTATGGAAAAGCACTCAAGCGTATCACATTGGAAGCTTGCGATAGCTGAGAAGACCATTGATGTAATCAGTAGGATTGAGCTGATCGATTCAATTTCAACCACAAAGCTTTCGATGCTACAGTTTCTTGTACAATGAGTTGCACGTTTAGAATAATTTATCTACCCGTATTCTGGTTGCCTACAACCTATTCATGTTGTAATGTATTGCTGGACATCATTAGAAACTATTGCAAAATATCTGTGAAAAACTATTTTCGATGAAATACTGTAAAGTGAAATCATTACAGATCAAAACTTTATTTGTTCTCATGCCAATACACCATTGAATTTTCAGAAAAAGTAATAGTTAATACAGTTGATTATGGCCAGTCGTAAGTAATTATAAAGTAAATCAAACAATAACTAATAGATTAATCGTTTCCATTTTGTCCAATAATCATTCTAAAACTGCAACTTAAAAAAAATAAATAAAAAGATGTCACTCGTCGACAATACCTCTTTTTCGATTAACATAAATTACAGAACTCATCGAAAATAACTTTCCGCGGGGGTGCAGTGTCTTCATTCCATGTCCTCTTCGAAATTATCGGGAGTTGAATTATTCATTGCGGCGCTTTTCTCGTCGATTTTCACCCTTTCTTTTTTATTCTCTCGACAACGAGTATATTGGCACTCGTACACTCGCACACAGTTCCAAAAGCTACATGTGCGTGAATTTCATCAATCTCGGCTTGCGCGCGAGGCAGCAGCACCCCGCAGTGGGTGGATTTTCGCCGATAGTCAAGAATTTCAAGTGAGCCTTAACATCTTTAATGTATGAACTTGCAGCTTTTTTTTTTCGTTTCAAAATTGTTTATTTTTCAATTTCATCAAAATCGCGTGTACATTATTTTTTATAAAAATTGACCGAAAAAAAATTATGATTGATACAGCAATTATCAATCTTCTTTCTGTTGCCAGTACGCGAAACTTGTAAAGTTTTGAAATGCAGCCTCTAATAATTCGATCTCGAACGTTTTACCGATCAAAATAATGCACGTGCAACTACTTAAATATCAGATTATGGTCTCAGACTGTGTGCGTGAGAAAGAGAGAGAGTGAAGAGAGAGAGAGAGAGAGAGAGAAGCTTTGATCTGTAAAGTAATATACAGTAACTTTGTTAGCAACAATTCTAAGTGTCAAACTCTCCATAGCAAAAAAGAAAAAAATTTGCTAAAATTGATTCTCTCTCTTTCTTTCTCCTAAATTTATTAGTGTCGCATGCCCATAGCGATGGAAAAGTTTAATTAGATCGCATAACACACCAAAGGCGATTTAAGCTCTCGCTCGCACGTGTGTGTATAGGCGACGTGATGTGTAACTGGCTGCACAACGCATAAACATGAGCGAGTAATTTAACGGCGTGAACGGATTATTACGAGCTCCCGCCGCATTATGTCGCGACGGGACATATGTGTGCGGGGGCTTTTTTTTCAAACGATGAAAATTCTAGGACGTTGATAAACGAATAATAAGCGAGCGGCGTGAATTCAGTCGAGCAGTTGTGACTTAAAAAACATAACGACGATTCTCACGAGTGTCGCCGGCTACTTTCGAGCGCGAGATGCTTTGTTTGGAGTCGCCATTGCTATATCGCTGCAACTCGGTTAAGTTACAAGCGAGAGGGTGCAAAAGGGACTGTAGCGAGAGTAAAGCCCGCATAAAGGTCTGCACTTCCTTTGGCGTTCGTGCCGGAATAATTATGATTAATTGCATCAAGGACATAACACAATTACCACAGCAAGAGAGAGTGAGTGAGAGAGAGAGAGAGAGATAGAAATTCCAATGAACTCGACGCTTTTGAGAAATTATGCGCGAAGTACATATTTCATTCGTAGTTGTTCCTTTTTGTATAAAGTGTGGAAATTCAACTAATTTTATATCATGTCAAAAGCATTGCTCTAGCTTGGAAAAATTCTTGGCGAATGACGAGGAATTCACGCGGTCAACTGAGTTCTTTTGACTCTCGTGCGCAACTGTACAACGAAATTACGAAATTTTCTTTTATTTTTGCAACATGGAACCGAAGTAACGAAATAAAACTACGTAGATTGCGACAGCTCGTGCATTCGTAAAGGAAACACACGAAGCATCGAAATAAAACAGTCTCGAAGTTGTAACGACCAGAGAGTTCGAACACAAAGCGCTTACGAGTAGCATTGAAAACAAGAGGAAAAAAGGACGGGACGCGACGCACACGTGTTGTATTAGCTGCGCCGCGATCGTAGAGAGCTTCTGGCTTTTCAACAGCCGTGCACGAACAACACCCAGAGAAGCTCTTTTTCTCTTTGCGCTAACCGTAAATTGATTTTTTATTACTTCGGTAAGAGAGGGCTTCCGAGCACTTGTAACTGGCTACAATTTTATCGTGTATTATTTCTTTTTTTAAAAAAGGAATAAAAGAAAAAAAGAAAATTCAATAATGAACGTTAAACTTCGCAATGCTAACATGGTGATATGGGCAGATCAAAAATCCAGATAATTTATTCGACTACGTATACAGAATGAAATCGAAGGGCAGTGCGCATATGCGTATATTGGATCGCGTGAAAACGAGATGCAAATGAAATGAGTTTGGCCACGCGCGCTCCAACGAGTAAATCCGAGGGAGGGGAGCATTAGGAAAATTGCGTGTTTTGCATAACAATGAACGATAATCAGCTGGACAGTAGATCGAACTCGATCCGCGCGTCGAGTGAAAATTAATTTTTCTTTCCTTTTTTTGTTTTTTTTTCTCTCATCTCGCTGAACTAACAACATTTACGTTTAATTAAAAATTTATTCGAAGGGATCGCATTCCTGAGCATTTAAACGCTCGTGGTGTTTACTCTGCAATTGAATTTTGCTACTGGCTTTTATCAGTTTCAAATGATGTATTTA